TTTTTTTTTTTTTTTTACAAATAAAGCTTCATATTATGAGAAGGCTCCTTTCTACGACCTTTATCCTGCAGTCGTGGTGAGATTATAGATTCTTTCAATCTAACAAAAACAAGAATTGAAAAAGAATAAAAAAACAGAGAGGAATCGATTCCAGAACCAGGAATCGGAATCGATTCCAAAAATTTCGGAATCGAACAGCCCTGACTAAACAAGAACAAAGCAATTTGAGCGGGAAACACAACCAGCTCCGTTTGAAAACAGGAGCTGCGCAGTCATTGGCTAGCAGTCAAGCTCAGACTTCACACATCAGCCAATCACAAGCCTTTGCACTTTTATGATGCCATAAGCTGTGGCTGTATGAGGCTTTAAAAGCAGGCGCATAACATAAACGTCTCAGGTTACTTATGTAACCATGGTTCCCCGAGTAGGGAACGAGACACTGCGTCCTCTAGGGGTCGCTATGGGGAGCGCCTCGTCGTGACCTGTGTCTGAAGAATACATTGACAAAACACCAACTCACTACCGGTGCGACTATAGTATAAATAGGCGCCGGGAGCTACACATCATTCACTTCTTCGTCTGAAGCTTGCGTCCGCAGCATGGCAAGAAACCTAGAGGACGCAGTGTCTCGTTCCCTACTCAGGGAACCATGGTTACATAAGTAACCTGAGACGTTCCCTTTCAGAGAGGATTAACGCTCAAAAGAAAGCACCATACTCATAATAACCCTCACTGGTGAGGGGAGCGATGCTTCCAGAGTGTGTCGACAGAGACACACTAGTTGAGTGGAGCCCAAGGAACCGGGGTCTAACCAACTCAATAACGCGTAACCCTTACCATACAGGATTTTAGAGAAGTGGGCAAAGCATAACGTGCACACTTACCACTTATGTGGATTTTAGAAAAGTGGGCAAAGCATAACGTGCACACTTACCACTTATGTGGATTTTAGAAAAGTGGGCAAAGCATAACGAGCACATTTACCACTTATGTGGATTTGAGAAAAGTACATTTGATCTCAAAGATTTGAGAGCTCAAATACAACCCTCAAAGAAGAGGGGAGCACTGCCCGAGACAGCATTTAAACAGGAAGGTTTTCTCGTAATGCCCTATGCCTCCCGCTCGATGCCTCAGCAAGAGGGGAT